TCTCGCTAGATATTTTTTGTAGTATTTCTGCAGATAATGCCGAATTCAATAATTTGAATTTTAATGCGGAAGGTGATAACTTTTTGAGCTCATCCGCATACAATTTTCTTTGTGAACCTTGCACAAAACGTTGATGGTTTTCGTGATCACTGTGATCATAGTTGCCTTCAGTATATACCAATATCGTATGCTCTGTATGCGGATACGCAATTGCCTCGTTCACGAAAAACTTATATCGTGTGCATGACGTGTGTTTACACTTCGCGAGAACTTGGAAACTTTTGCCACCTTTACACTGCAATGAGCATTTGTGCCATTGGCAAGCCAAAACACAATATGGATACACAGTGCTAAATATTTTATTAAATTCGTCAAACCATCCACGTTTCATTTTCTTTCCGTTCGTCCAAAATTCATCCCAAAATTTTGCTGGGACAATAAAGGAAGTATTTTCCCGCCATGAAGAAAACGAATTTGTTTGTTTCAGGCTTTCAGAAACGCTATTTGCAACTTCAATCTTATGAAGTGTGTCATAATGAAAATTATTTTCCGAAAATCCAGAAATGACACTATTGGTTTCATTGTGACAATCTTCGAAACTGAAATATGCTTTCGATTCTGCACTATCTATTTTAATCGTTTCTTGTTTCTCCTCTACTTTCAGAACATCTTTATTATTTTCAGTTTGTCCCGAATTTGAATAAGTTCCGGTGTACGAAACATTTGGTCCAATATCTTCTTTTTTCATGCATACATTACGATTGTCATAATGCAAGAAGTCATTTGAATTATCTGTTTCTTTAAATATATCTTTATTTTTGTCGATTTCGTATTTGAAAGCTATATGTTGTAATATAGCGACAGAATTCCGTCGAAAGAAGTAATAGCACTTTTGACAATGCTTTTTAAACGTTCTTTCATCTTTCGCATTTTTGTATATATACCTACAGATTAGAAGCCACGTGCTTTGTTTAAAATATTCTAAACTATTGGTAAATTCCTCGAAATCTGAATGACTGAAATCATAAAAAGCATTCAACGCTGCATCGCAGATAACTTTGTTCGTCAACGAAATCATTTTGAATCAATAATTTTCATTAAATTCAGGGAGTACTGCAAGGTCGAAATATGAAAAGGATTCTAACCCAGACAGAATATTTATGTATTATGAAAAATATAAGAAATTAATTGACAACAATACTTAACACAACAAAGCGAAATATATCATAATGTAAGCAAAAGCGGACTTTTTCTAATTCAATATATAAGTACTACGAGATACGGTGAACGCGCGATGGCTTTTTGTCTTATGTTATTTGCCGGCCGCCAAATGACATGAGTTACGGTCAGCGGTGCTCTGCTCGCAGTCCCGCAGCCGAAGATAGCCAAGTGGTGGGAGTAGCGGCGTGCACCCGCGATGTGGGCGGTGCGGCCCACCGCTGCTCCCACCACTTGGCTATCTTCGGCTGCGGAACTGCGAGCAGAGCACGCTAATTGTTTATGATTTTTTATAATAAATAAACAATGGGGGCGTGATGTTGAAAATAGTATAGCTTTTCGGTTTCCTCGTTTCTCAGACTACATTTCAGAATTTTTTCCGAACCTCTACCATCATGCGTGTAGCAATAATATTTTTTATATTATTTATACATATATTTTATAATGTATTTTTATTGCTATTTTCAATATTTTTGACATAATCTTTTCTCGTTTATCGCCGTGTAGTATGAGTTATTATTTTCAATGAATTTTTTATGGAATAAGTCCTAAATTCTGTTTTTTTATAATCGGGGGCCCCGCACTGCTATTCGTCCCTGGCGTCTCGCATGTGGCCGCTAGAAGTGGCCGCTAGCTTCAGCGTCATGAAATTTCAATCGTTTGGAGTAAGATTCATTTCAAAAAAGGAGTGAAACTTCCTTCCTTTAGAGTGAATTATCTTATACCAAAAGATTGAAATCACTTCAAAAAACAAGAAAAGAGTGAAAATCTGCGACTCTTATTCAAGAGTGCAAATATTTCCATTCTTTTTCAATAGTGGCAGTATTTTCATTTTTTTGGAGTGGGACTTCACTCCAAGAAATTTAGAAAGTAATACACAACTATCATAATATGAAAGTGAATCCTTTTCTATTATGTCTGAGACAGTAGTTGTTATAGAAAAATATCACGGAATATCTACCATACACAATGTTATATTTTTAACTGTGGGACTTAAAAATTACACACATACATTGTTGTCTATTTCAAATTAAACAAAGAATAAAAATTATTCACAATTCAGCACCTTTGAAAGATTAATTCGCGGAAGGATCTTTCTTTTTTCCATTACGCGTAATATGGGAAAATTCTTGCAGAAAGATTTTCGTTTCACATTTAAATATGGAATTCCCCCCGTTTCACACGCCACTCACGAACCACCCCGGAAATATGTAGCTGTGCGTACAGATTATGGACTATGAAATACGTGCCAGGGGGTACTCTCAGATGGCTGCGAACATCAACGGGAGCGGTGAGCACCATGAGTAAATACGAAAAGCCCATGATATTCGCACGAGCGGGCGAACAGGGTGTTATGCATTAGCGAGGCGTTTCTTCGCATGCGTCATCTGGGTACGAGATGTACCTTGCAATTGCGGATTAGCGAAGACCGAACGTCCGCGGCCGGACATATCACCGTACGCATTTCTACCATCCCTGTCGCGGCCGACTTGTTACAAGCACGTACAAGCGCGTTTCCTCGAGCGCGAGCGTCCGGCAACGGGCAAACACGCACGGCACGTACGTAACGCGCAATCCCGCCCGCTACACGCACGTATAACCATATATAATATAGTGGATCCGCAGCGTCCGTAATGTAATCACGGGTGACACAATTAATCACTGGACCATCCAACCCCGCTAGGCCATTAACGATTGCGACACACTCAGGCTCCCGTTGATAGGTGGATGCGTTTCACATATACTCGTGCACACGAACCGCACGCGTGCACGAAATGCACGCATACGCGCAAGCAAAAGGATCGAAAAGTACGCAAGGGAGAGAGCAAGAGAGATCGACGATCGTTAGGATCTTTCCCTTTTCCCCCATGTCGCCGATTTTCCACGCGGCTCATGCGCGTGATTAATTGGTGCCATTGTATATCGCTAGATTATTATAGGGTATAGCAGTGGTAGTGGATCTCATCGATCTGCAGCCGACGATTGATTGGTTCCGGTGTCGTGAAATCTATTTCATAGATGCATCAACTAACTGCGAGTTCGATATGTACTAACGAGGCACAGATCCCGTCCACTTTAATTAGAAGCCACTTGCTTTCATCATTCGAGATTTACAAAACTCACGAAGATGGATGTATCAATATTTAAAAAAAGATGTCTTATTCTATAAAATATATATAGATATATAGAGAATTATACAATATATATAGAATATATATAATAATATATATACAGAAATATATAGAGAAATACTTATACGTAGAATAGTAGTATTCATATAACGTTTCTTTGAACAGACAGTTTAATATATAAATAGTGATTAATACATTAATATATATATATATATATATATACGTGTACATATTGATTTTTAAAAAAGATAAACACTAGGAGTTTTTTTAATTATAAACAATGTCAAGATGGCTTTTGCAGCAAAAACCATCATGACGTTGATTAACTAAAAATTCACATCTGCGTTTCACTATAACATATCATATTTTTATTTAAATTTTACATAACATATATGTTTGTGCCTAATCAAGAACTTAATTATTAAAAATTTAAACGAAGATATATGTTATGATGAGACATAGATGTAGCACTGTGTATTTTTAATTATAGTTAAAACTGTAGAATGCTTTTGGTATTTGTATGAAATTTCTATAGAGGCATCAAATATATTTATCGACATAAAACATAATTTAACAATTTTGTAATACTTGTACAAAATTTTCATATTGATTTTCCATCACTCAACTCCTTCCTTTTAATAAAAGAGAAACGCGTGTTACCTCGCGTTGTGTGTTACACAATTTTGACGCAATATACGTAAAGCTATTCAAGGTTATAATTAATATATGAGGTACGCATTGCTATCAAATTGCGCTCACAGCTAGGAAACGAAGAAAAGGATGTGTAGCTTCGAAGAACAAGTATGACAATAGTATTGCAGATTGGAAATTGGAATGCCAATGAAATGTCAGTAAAAGGATTGTAAATGTTGATCAGAAAATAATTTCACAGTTTAAATACTTTATATAATATTGTATAAAATACGTAAAAAATCCTTTATTCATTTTTACAAATATCTCAATTTACCAAAAATAAATTTTTTTAAACTTCGGCAATTTTCACTTTTAATTAAATATCCATCGAATTGCATCACATGCGATTCTGATAAACGTGATATTCGAATGGATATCCCACTTTGCGTTATATTTTTTACAAAATGATAACGTGAAACCAACAAGGGAAACGTGCAATTCACGCGTGACTATAAAATCAAATTATATATATGATCACTAATTGCCGCAATTTAAAACTTTTGTTAACTCGCGCACATAACGTGATAACTTATTATTCACAGATCACATGATAGTTTGCGAATTAACATGTAACTGAATAATATCTAATTGTAAGCCAAACTTCGAAAATATGATTTATTGAATGGTTAAATCTAATAATATTAAAATACGCATTAAATTTATTGCATAAATTATTCCAAAATAAATCTATTATTTTTCGCAACATTGTATCATTTGTCTTGAAAGGTAAAAATCTCTCAATGACTAAATAATTTTAAAAATAAATCTGGTACTTTGAAAATGAAGATTCTGCAAGGAGCAACCTTTTCCCATAAAAATATTACAATTATAATATTATTTCGAAAACTTTAATCCACCCAGGACTATGATGCAATGAAACAAATAATATCATATTATTTGAAACTGACGTATACTTTACAAAAAAATATTTTATTTTCTCATGTCGCATTTAAAATGCAGCGGTTTAAAGTATAAAATATTTCATGTACATGAAAAAAAAGTTTACAATATTCAGATGACTTATTCTAGATTTTCAGTATTGGAAATTCGTACCTTCTATCCTCCGTGCAGCGTCGAGATGAAGAGCACTTTGTCCCGCGGGCATAGTTTATAATCGCCTTCACCCTGAAATTATATCTTCTTATATCTCTATACTTCTTATATTGTATCTTTGCTCAATCGAGCGATGCGAAATATGACTAAAAACCTAACATAAAATGTGACAAAAAATGATAAGCTTAAGGAAATATTTTAACTTACACGTACCAATATCTATATATTCTTTAAGAAATTGAAAGTCAATTTTCATTCAAAATTTAATTGTGTGCTATTTCTTCGTATAATTTTTTACCACGGAATTTTAAATAAATACTTCAAACAAATAATTCAAGCGATAATTTTCAATATCTACTTTATTTTTAAATTTCAAACTTCAATCAAAAACTTTATTACATCTTTTTGATAGAGTTTATTTGAAATTAAAATTTTATTATTTGCATCCTAAGAGCTTAAGTTATAAAAACCCTTATAGACCTTCAGTCATTTATTGAAATAGTAGTTACGGCTTGATGTTAAAATCAAGGAAAAATTTGAGTTGGAATCCATGATATAGATGAAAATTCAATGAATGCCATATATATCCTAAATGAAGATAGACTGACTTTACGAAGATTTTATCTTTAACTCCGAGTTTATGCCTTTCAACATCCTTTAACTATCAAGATAGCAAAGATATCCATTACATCGATATGCAAGATTTGAAAAAGTTAGATTTTCACGAGCACAACTATATCATGGAAAGAGAGGGATGCGGGTGGAGAAAGAAACAGGTGAAAAGGAAAGCAGACGACATGTATATATATAAATATATATATATATACAATATATGAGCCTTGAGAAGAGAAGCGAGCCGAGCGAAAAGACGTGGAAACGCAAAAGCCGAAGATGCGCGGAGAAGCTTCGCCAAGAAGCGACGGTATTATCATAATAATGGCCAGAGCCATCATCTTTTCCCTCATTCCGACGCTCCCCGGCGCTGCAACATCTTCCCGCTCGAACGTTACCCCGACGAGAACCGCGTCTTTCCTCCTAATAGCCGCGGCGTGTACATTTACAAATTTAAAATGATAATTCTCTCCGTGGGTGTGGCAAACCGAGGTCATTTGCGCCCTTTCAGCGTCCGGAGTCGCTCCGTTATCCCGCACCCTATCTAGTGCGCAAGTAGCGATAGCGATGGTAGCCGACAGACCGATTATGCCGTTTGTAAAAACCGGTCACGGGGTATTCCGTTTGTCAGACGCCAGAAACAGCCGTGTGTCACTGCGGGAGTTAGCGACGTGGGAAAAGAAATATCGTGCGACGAGGGGTATCGTCCGTAGCATTTCTCTGTGTATTTGAGATTAATATTTTAAATCATCACACGATAACTTTTCGGCTCCCGCAAATCGTTCAAGCTCTTGATTTTATTAATACTAAAATACACAAACATGATAATATATTCCCTTCCACATGAGATGTTCGTATATTTCGTTCAGATTACTTGATATAAGTATTTAAATAGTTATATACACTACTCAACAAAATTAAAGGATCACTTGTTCCATCCTATAAAAATAGGCAAATTTCAAGATAGAATAACTTCGTCAAAAGTCATCGTATCGAGATATTTAAAAAAGCATTTTAAAGCTTGAAACCTCTACTTTTCAGATCGGTACTTCAAAAAACGATCTTGTTGATCAATAAATAAAAGAATTTAATTTTATAATAACAAGATTGAAAGACCGCTAATGTTAAACATAATAATTTTAAATTGAGAAGCGCCATAACGGTCAGAACGTTAAGATGTTGAACTATTGTAAATTCATTTAAATGAATTCATTTCAGAAATGATAATTGCGTGCCGATATGGTTGTCGGACTTTCAACGCAATCAAATCTGAAAATATTAATAATCCCCCCAAATTCCCCAACTTAAAAACTGTAATAAAACTTATTGCGAAAAATAATGCCTTTGTTTAATTTAATTTTATGTTTTTCTCAACGTTTTACTCACATCATTACGACACAAATCAAGATTGTAGATTTTCAAAAAATAAGATGAGATCACTTTTATATCAGTCAAGTGATGCTAATTTAATATGGACCACACACATCAAATAATAGGGAATACAGAAACAACTGATACGTTTCACTGGATACTGTAATTATCTGACCGAATACTTCGACAACTTATGTAATGTTATTTGTTTTTACATTGAAAATGACCCGATCGGCGTCGAAATGTTTGTACGAATATTAAATATTCTTTATATTTTAATTGGTTCGTAGCCCTTCGTTTATTTATTGATTTATTCTTATTGAGTCATATTTTTAATTTAGATCTTGTTGATATTTTGTGAAGCTACACAAACGTAAATGAAGACGCATCAAATCACAAAATTTTTTTAAACATTTCAATACGATGATTTTTTTGACGAAGTTATTCTATCTTGAAATTTGCCCGCTGCTTTTCAACAAAATTAAAGTTATTTAAAATCAGCGTTAAAAAAGACCAAATTCAAATTTCACATATCTCCGCGAAGAATGGTCGCGAAGCGATATTCGAAAAAGCATTTTAAAGGCCATAACAAATTTCTTTGATTGTAAATTAAGTTTAACACTTTCTCTTTAAAATGGTTTTTAACGATTATCTACTACAATTTTTTTTACTGAGTGATTTGAAGTGAATGGTAGATTTTCTAGTCTTTTCTCTAAAAATTTCTAAAAATTTTAAAAAGTTTCTAAAAACATTTTAAAGCTTGAAATCTCTATTGTTTAGATCGGTATTTTAGAATATCGTCTTACTATTACGGCGCGAATTAAATATTGCGCACAAATGCGATTTACAGTTTTCGAAAGAGTGAATCTTTACCTTTAATTTGCTTTTTTATTGATCTCTGTACGATTTTTTTTCATTGAGTTATTCAACATCGAAGCAAAAAGGGTCGTTTTTGTTTCAACGTTGAATAACTCGGTGAAAAAAAATCGTACGAAGCTTCATAAAAAAACAAATTGAAGGTAAAGATTTACTCTTTCGAAAACTGTAAACCGCATTTCTGCGCAATTTTTAATTCGCGTCGTGACACTTCGCAAATTTCATAAAAAATTTTGATATCTGATGCGTCTTCATTTATGTTTATGTAACTTCACAAAATATCAACAAGATCTAAATTAAAAATATGGCTCAATAAGAATAAATCAATAAATAAAAGAAGGGCTACGAGCAAATTAAAATATAAACAATATTTAATATTCGTACGAATGTTTCTACGCCGATCGGGTCATTTTCAATGTAAAAACAAATAACATTACATAAGTTGTCGAAGTATTCGGTCAGATTACAGTATCCAGTGAAACGTATCGGTTGTTTCTGTATTCCCTATTATTTGATGTGTGTGGTCCATATGTAAAATTAGCATCACTTGACTGATATAAAAGTGATCTCAT